TGTGTAGGACGCAACAAACACGACTAGTACTTCTAACTCAATTGGTCTCATTTTTCAGATTTCCATTCATCTACTCACATCGACATCAAGCCTCGTTCGCATCGCCCAATACTCTCAATTCACTGCTCGGTTGTCAAAATATCAGCGAAAGCAGAATCACCGGTGATGTTTCTGTTCGTGCCTCTAATTTAAGACCAGGTTGCCAACAAGGTCAAATTTATGGCAGTACCGCTCGGCATTGATGGTGAAGATGAGTGCGACAGATACAAGTAGTATACAGTATATAGGTCCTACTATCTTCTAAAATAATATTGGTCAATTTCCGGTGAAGATGGTGAAGGTCTTGACAATCAATATTGCTCCATACACTTCCGAGCCCCAGTTTGGGACTTGTACTGCAAAAGATTGTTGAACTGTTTTCATCAAGTAGTGTGGCTAAATGAACTGTTTTTCTCTATTTATGTATTAATAATTTGTTTTCATAGTACCAGAACATGTTGTTCTCCATTGCTCCGCGGGTATATTGGTGGAGCCTGCAGAATCAAGGGATCTATTACCAGTCTCCATATCGGGTTAAAATTTGTGATATTACAAATCGATGCACCGAACTTCCACTGCCAGAGGGTGCTCAACGCGGGAGATATTGGGGAAACAGAGCCCACATATAGATGTTCTCGGCTGAATGAGGTGTTGTTCTGCACTTTTTTTCATGTGTTGGATTCGGCGAAAGACGAAACTACCCACCGAAACAAAATAACATAACACTGGAAGTAAAAAAAAGTTAAAACGAAGTGGCATGTACTGCTCAAATAAGTAAGAATCGATGTCTGCAAACCTACGGCGGATACCCGATAGACGACTACATCAGCTTTACGGTAGGTTCTCAGCAAGTGCACGCTGAAGCAACGGTGCGACTTGCTTTCTGGAAGCACCAATATTGCGTTGATTGAACGCAGCTACGTGGTCATCTCGATGCGCTTCCGGCAGCATCAAGGGCTGCATCTGCAATGAGCCTTCCTTCTCAATAAACTTAATACAGCACTTGGCTTCATTTCCGATTTCCTGGAAGAAAAGTAATTGGCGGTGACGTTGTTTGTCTTGTGTCATGAACACTGTCATCACTACCAGGAACGACAGCTCGTTCTGTTTGCAGTATTCAGACAACTCTTTTCGTAACTCAGCAGCATCTTTAGTCTTGAGTACAAAAGCCTCCAAGTCAAGTAACACGGAACTGATGCCGACTTTCTTGTCTTCACTTGCCGTTGCAAATGTGAACTCTTTGTAGTCCACTTGGAGACAATTCTCAAGCTTAAACTTTCCCCAGTGTGCAGGATTAAACTTCTCTGCCTGTAGCCACCTAAACAGCGTTTCTTTCTTCGCAAACGCCGTTTCTTCCAGTTTCTCCGCTGCCTTAATATCTCTCGGTGTTACTTTCTTCGCACTCGGGTCGAAGTTGATACTATCCAGTGCGATTACTCCCAATAGCATCGTTGAGAGTAGTTTATGCACTTCATGAGACTCCATTTCCTTCAATTTCTCGGCCACCAGTGTGCACGTTGATGCCACCAGTGCGTTACCATCGGCAAAAGCCACTTCTCTCTTTGCGTTCAAGTGTTGACCAAGATCTGAGTGGTGGTCCACGATCTCTACCACCTGAAGGTCGTTGATATGCGGAATTTTCTTATTATTCAGTGCATTGTGGTCCATAAGCGTGACTTCCACTCTGCTCTCACCGGTAATCTCCCATGGGAACTCGTCCACGAACACAAGAGCATTAGTGTCCACGCCAAGCTCCTCGAACAACGCAGACACGTCGCAACGGAGCGCTAACTCCTTCCTGAGGATCGGCAATACGGGTACACTCAGTGTATCTGAGTGCTGTTGACAGTGCAAGAAGGCGTAACTCAGTGAACTGACGATGGAATCGGCGTCTGCCGCCTCGTTACCCATGAAAATGTGCACCGAGGCGGGCGATTGTGTCAATGCTGCACGTGTGGAGCGCAAGAATTCATTGAACAGTGCGACGCTAGAGCCGCGAGCAGCAGACGAGTCTGCACGCCAGAGTGCGGGAGCGGACATGGCGCGGAGATGTAGACGGCGATGCAGTAAGCGCTGTGAGGAATGACTCGACGCTCTTAAAGTGTACATTGGATATCGCTCTTTACATGTTTTCTAGTTGTGAAGCATACGCTGCTAAACTGTTTATTATGTTGCACACGTAAAAGTTTCTTGTTGGCCTGTGCTCGAGACGGCTCTAAATCCATCGTCCTTCGCTTCTCGAGGTACGTTTGACGTGTTGGGGCATTGATATCTCGTCGTTTACTGCACGTGGCACCGTGTACGACAGTCCATTGTCTTCCTCTATGTCTCCTCTATCGATACATACCAGAAACTCTTTCTAACACGCTGTTTTCTCTTCACAATCCTCCATTCTCCGCAGGCACCACCTCTACAGTCATGGTAGACCCCGACGTCGCCGTGGGCGAAAGCCCCGAGGCGCTGAGTCTCGCCGATCGTCTGCTATTACTGCTGACAATCCTACTGTTCCTGTCGCTGAGCGCCGTGTCTGGGCGCGTCCTCTACAGTCAGTACGCTGCCAAACGCAAGCGTCTCTCCAGTCCCACCGCAGAGACTTCTGGGCGTGTTCCAGCTGGCAAAGCGCCGTATTCTGCAGTACCCCAAGCGCCTCCACCTCCTGTAAACGTTGTGGGCGGCTCCGAGTCCGCTCTAATGGAGGAGGAGGGCGCTGCAGCCGCTTCAACAGGCTCCGAGATGCGTCAGAGACTCTTTCTACTGCTGTTCGTGGCCTCCACATTACGTGTCTGCTCTCTAATAACTGAAGTGGCTACACTAGAGAAGATAACGGCGCTGCCGTCCACGTCCGTATACTGCAGACTACTCGCGCTGTTCCTATGGCTTCCGTCCATGCTGTTCGTGTCCATGTATGGCCTCGTGTTGCTCTTCTGGGCGCAGTTATGCTACGCGTGCTGGGGCAAAGCCCACCCGTGGCCGAGAAGAGTGTTTTTCCTGTTCAATGTGCTGTTATACGTGGGATTCGCGCTGCTATTCGCTCTGTCCAGCACGTCCGCGGGACTCTGGAGAGGCTGCGACTTGATGCAAGGAGGCGTCTACTTTGTGGGGCTATTTGGCATTTTATACTACAGCATCCGACTCATCGATTTCTTCCGTAACCAAAGCCCGGACGAGGATTTCTTCTTCGACTTGTCGTCGGCCGCTATTGGCAATGGCACGAGGAACCGCCAAGGACGTGCGTCGTTCTCCATTGCACCCAGATCGCCTCGGCAACTGGTTTTAAGAAGGGTAAGCTACTTATTAGGAGTGATTATACTAAATATTAGGACTAACTTGTACCTGAATTTGGACAGATTACGGCGGTTTGTATCCTCCTGTGCGTCTTATTCGCTGTCAAGGCGGTATATTTGATCGGTATGGGTACCGGTTATATGGAGTCGGAGGAGTCTCAATACCGCACTCCTGTGGGTGTCCACCACATCGCGTACGAGTTCGTGATCCACTTCTCGACCGAATTCGTTCCATGCGCGCTCTTGCTCTTCTTTACGCGTCAGGACAAGAATTCGTCGGCCCAGCGGCAACGTCTTCGCTCGTCGTCCGCCACTTCAGCGTCCGCTTCCTTGTCTGGCGGCAGCTATGGGGCGAACAACCCACGCGATAAACCCCCGACACCTAATTACGCCTATGCGCCAAGTCGCGGCATCGCTGCAAGTCACGCGTACCAAGAAGACGCCGTGCCGATGCTTTCCGGGTATCAGTATCAGGTACGTAGAAGTAGAAATTGACACTATGTGTGAGATAGTAACGTTTCTTATTGTAGGCAAATCAGCGTGCGTATGGGTCGACCAGCTCGACGTCGTCTTCGACTGCAAATTTGCGCTCGAGCAACAGCAGCGGTGCTTTCCTGCTCGACAGCATCAGTGGAAGTGCCTTCGGTAGCGCCGGCCCCAATACCGGCTCAAATGCGAAGATGGCGTACCATTAAATGAAATTTTCTTTGCAGTACCAGATATTCCTAACGCAATTGCTGTAAAATAAGAGGCAAGGTCAAATCGGCAAACGTGGTTTGCTGGGATCCGTGTTCTAGCGGACGTCTCATATGCGCCGATGTCAGGCTGTCTATTGCTGCAACCACCAACATCCAGCAGATTTCGGCACCGGAAGGGCAACGGCCACTGCACCGACGCTTTAACGTTTAGTGTTCGCAGATCTTCTACACTTTATTGTTGGCCTTGGCTGGTCGAGGCAGTAGCTGTGGACACAGTCATGTGTACTCTGCGCTTCAACCTCTGCTGTAAACGTGAGGCTGGTCGTCATCACGTGCTTGGACGCAGGCCTCGTCGTTGAAGTGCCTTGCGAATCTGTCTGCGATGTTAAACCGACCTGGAAGTTGAATCAACGATACCGGCCTCCCATTGGTCAATCGCTAGGGTCCAGGGTCGACGCGCTTCCGTGAAAACCTGGACTAGAACTGAAACTTCCAGTGGCGCTCGTTGAAGTTCTCAGATGGTTTACCACAAGAAAATACTCATGCTGTCCATGCCGTCGACGTGTACAGGCGAAATGCCACGTTGAAACGCCCGCCAAAGTATTATGTAGGAGTAAACGCTGTTTTAGAATAAAAAAAAACCGCTTCAGAATCCGTGGTGAGCTATTCGGAGCAATCAACCACTGAACACTACGCTGACTGTTGCAATGGCAAGTCCATCGCCGGCCTCGACTTCGATTGCTGGGCGCTGCGAATTCCTCGCTCGTCGGGCAACAGTTTGCTGCGATGATGGTGATGCATGAGGCCAACCCTAGCTGAAGCGCAATTATCAGCGCCAAAAACCTCCTTGCGAATCCGACACAGCCGCAACACAAACCTACACGTCAACATGCGCTTTGCAACGTGTTCGGCGTGAAAATTGGCCTTTTTTTGCCTTTCACGTTCGTTTCAAGACGCAAAATGGTACAATCATTGCGAAAAAACTGTTTAAATGAACCCCCACCCCCTGCGCAAGTTCACTTGGCTCCACTATTGAACAGCTCAGGCACCACGGATGTCAATTTCCTCGTCCTCCCCTTTTTGCCACCTTTTTTTCACAAACCTCAGCCATTCTCCTTTTGCCTCGCTGCCGCGCACTGCCGTTCTACCTCGCCGTTCTACCTCGCAACTCGACGCCTTCAGCCATGCAGCCGACAAACACTCCGCTCGTCAACATGCAGATGAAGGCCACCAAGGATCAGGTCCTGGCCACCAGCGCGCTCAAGGACGCCATGGGAGCCGAGATGAAGAACCGCACCGTGCCCGTGCACGTCAAGATGATGGCTGGCATGGCCGGCGGCGTCGCCGAAGCCTGCATCTTGCAGCCGCTAGACGTGACCAAGACGCGATTGCAACTGGACCGAACGGGTCAATACAAGGGCATGATCAACTGCGGCTCGACCATCTACAAGACCGAAGGCGGCCTGGCGCTCTACAAGGGTCTCACGCCTTTTGTGACCAACATGGTGCTTAAGTACGCGCTGCGGTTCGGCTCGTTCGCCTGGTTTAAGGAGCAAATTGCCGGCGGCAAGGACAAGCCTATCACCCCCACCATCAACTTCACGGCCGGTTTACTTGCCGGTTGCATCGAGTCGGTCATCATTGTCACGCCATTTGAAGTGATCAAAACGCGCATGCAAAAGGAGGTCGGTGTCGGTCGCTTCAGCGGCCCCGTCGACTGCACGCGGCACATTGTGCGCAACGAGGGCGTCCGAGCGCTCTGGAAGGGCAACATCCCCACGATGGCGCGTCAGGGCAGCAACCAGGCCTTCAACTTCATGGCCTTCGCGTGGCTCAACCACCACGTGTGGGACAAGCAGGACGGCGACGGCAAGACGCTGCCCACGTACGCCACGTTCATTAACGGTCTCATTGCTGGCTCGCTCGGCCCCATGTTCAACACGCCCATGGACGTGTTGAAGACGCGGTTGATGGCCCAGGAGACGGTGGCGGGCCAGGAGCTCAAGTACAAGGGCTTCTTCGACGCCATGAAGGTCATTTCTCGGGAAGAAGGCGTCGGTGCTCTGTGGAAGGGTCTGCTCCCGCGTCTCACGAGGATGGCACCCGGCCAGGCCATCACCTGGTCTGTGGTCATGCGCGTGACCTCCATCTTCGAGAACCAGGAGCTGGAGCTCGCGGAGAACAAGATCAAAATGTAGACAAGACACAGCAGAGGCTCTCGCAGCGTGCTCGAAGGCGAGCGAACACGCGCAGCAGAGAGGAGAGACTGAATTTATTGAGATTCATTTACAGTAATAGTACTTCATGTGGTTACCCTACCAGTGGATTTTTGTGGCCGCAACTTTCCAGTGTATTTGCCGGCGTTGAGTCATCTCGTTTTTGCCAGCTGAAATCTACGGAAATCTACCATGACAGGTCGGAAGATAAGAAAATTCTCCAAAACTGCGGGCTTCTATTGCTATCTACAGTCATTTACAATGTTACACTCTCCTTGCTCACCGACTCGCTCGAGATTTGCCACCGTGCTCCGTGGGCGGGAAGTCCTCTCGAATTTTAAGCTCAATCTCGTCTTCACAGAGTCCCATGGCACGATACTTTGCGATGGCGCTCAGCAGCTTATCCAGATGGCGACTCGTACTAGAAAGCCTCGGTGGGAGTCCGAAACTATCTCCGTTCGAGAAGAGCGAGCTGCGATCCAAAGCGTCGCCTTCGCTGCGAGAGGGCGTGTGCACTAGCGGTGGGGTCGGATCTTCCATCATGCCATAGGGCCTTGCCACCTCGTTGGCAATATCCTCGTCGTCTTCACTCTCGTCCTCATCGTACTCGTCGTCGTATTCATCATAATAATCACTGCCAAGGGAATACAACGAACTATCCTGCGGCAGACCGCTCCCGCTGCGACTATTGCGGCTGTTCGTCCGTCGGGAACGGAGAGAGGACCGCATACTGGTGACGCCGCTTGCCATTGTTCCCCCGGTAAGCCGGTGCCACGGAGCTCCGTGTTTACAGCACTCGCACACGCCGCCACCATTTTCCCGTCCGTCAGGAAGCCTTTTCATCTTCTTGTAGCTCGTGCAGCCACACGGCCCTTCCTCTGAGTCTCGGCCAAAGACACACGAGCCTCGTCGACCGACTCTTGCTCGTGCCCGCTGTGCTCTTCTCTCCATCTCTTCCCACAGTAATGTCCGTGCCGGCACGGGCTTAGTGGGCACCAGTCCGGCGGCTCTTTTCGCCGCGTACTCTTTTGCAATTTCAAGCAAAATCTTCTCCGCCTCGTGGATGCGTCGAGCCTGGTCGGCGGCATTTTCACTTCTTTTGCTTGAGCTGTTGGAAAGCTCTTCTTCTTCGGTGGTAGGATCCAGTGGCAACGAGGGGGTCATGGCTTTTTCACTCGAGTTCGAACCTCGTGGTAGCTGCGAGTCGGTAGTGGAAATCACCGTGCCACAATCGCTCGTCACGCCTTCACTCTGCGAGCGAGAACGGCGTTTGTGTTTGTGGTGACTCGGTTGTTGCAGTGACGGCGACGAGGGAGACATTAAGCCACCCGGAGACTGCGACCGGCGCGTGGGTTTGATGAATCTGCTGACTCGGGATACTCGCTGCTCCCCCGACGACGCCAACTTGTTGCCCATGGACGAAATATTTTGAAAGTTGTGGAAAAAAAAAAAAACCGTAGCGGGTATGCGCGGTGCGTGGCGAAGTCGAAAGTGGCGAGAGCGTCTCTCGACTACCGACGGGCGGACGTGTCGGTGTCTCTGTCGGAGACTGTCGGTCTCCGCCGGCTGCAACGTTAGTGCTGCACTTGGTCGTAACGGCGGCGATGAAAGGCTCGACAGACGGCTCAGAGCTTCGTCGGAGTTCAGTTTAGTGTATTCCACAAAAAATCCACAAAATGACACCTCGCTTTACCGACAGTATGAATCTCTGTTAGTAAAAAAAATACGTACAAAGAGAAAGTTGATTCTTTACGGACACTTGAGTTAAAGGGATTTCTAGGATAGTGACATGTTTCTTCGAAAATAGAGCCCACGCAATCGGACGACGTGAAATCGGCGCTTGCACTGCAAGACCACTACTGTGTATCATAATGTGACCTGTGGACCACGGCCTGTTGTTGGGAAAGCGCTGCAACAAGCCTCGATTGCCCACTAATGCAAAGTGGAATTTCCTATATATGTTGTGCCGCAATATGGAGAAGCAAGGCGAAAGCCACTCAAAAATTGTTCACATTCGGTTGTTTGGCTTTGGTTGTCTGCACACTTGAGGTGGGTGACACTATGCGATGCTGCAGATTGCTTGTCCATGTCTCGTTGTCAACGTGTGAGATTTGATCGTGGATGTCGATCATCTGCACGAAAAATGAGACCACACAGCGAGTTTGAGACCACCGAGATGAAAAGCGTAGGTCTCCGCTGGCGGATCAGATCGATGTGGGCAGCCAAAGTCTTAGTTACGCTGTCCATTCCGCTTTCCACCACGGTCAACTCGCCAGTTCTTGACGATAGCGCAATGGAGAACAGCACACAAAAAGCATCGATGAAAACCGCTGCGGCGTTGAAGGTGACGACTGCGGAGGAGCAACACGCCTGTCCGTATTGTTATGTGATACTTCAACCGCTTCAACTAGCCGGTCCACGCAAGCCAGTCCGAAAGATCGCGAAGACCGGTTGACGTCGAAGTTGCGTCGGACGCGAAATCGTCCCGTGCGACAACAGTCGAAATTGTATGGCGTGCCAATGCTGCTCGTAAAACGGTGTGGGAAATCGTGTTGAAGTGCCGTGTGGAAGATATAAATCATCTCGATCCGCTGATTTTCTCTTGGCGTTATGGGCGGAGAATGCCTGTGAATAAGATGACCCTGCGCTATGTTCAGATTGCAGCACAGTTGCTTGGCATGAATAGTCCGCCCTGGTGACAAGTAATACATCCGACTCGAGGATGTGTCGCTCTTGCATCCGTTAAAACCAGATCAGTGGTCGTTGCCTTCGACTGGTAGGGGGTTATGAGTATTATGGGCAAGTAACCCAGTTCGACATCTTCCACTGCAACAGAAGTTGCACCTTTAAACATAGGTACTCCTGTTTAGGATCTTTGCTTATCGGCCGCTGCTTTTCATAGGCTTCACTCTCGTTCTCCGCTAGTTCGACGCTAGAGTTCTCGGACAACGGTTACCTGAGCTCGACGTCTCAAAGGATGAGAACGTTGCCAGTGCACTTGTAGTACAGTAGTGCTAAACGACGATCTTGATCTACCGATCATGCTCGTCGTTTAGAGACTTCAACAAGAAATGACTACATTTTCAAATGATTTTTCGAGTATGCCATATCGTAGGTTATTGAAAAATTACCCCCCAATTTTGAATGACTCAGTTGGACTATTGGGGCGACTGGCAATCACGATTTCTTCCTTCGGCGTCTGCGTAGCGTTCACGGCCTTGTCCCTCTACATCTCGTTCCTGCGCTCGTGGCTCACTACAGTTCTTCTGGAGGTGGCGCCGCTGTTCGAGTTCTTCCTGCGCGCATCGGTCAGCGCCTACGTGGACTAGGGAAACATGGACGCAAATCTAAAGGAGACCGAGTACGACGTGCTGCTCGTGGGTACAGGCATGGTGGAGGGAATCCTGGCAGGGTAAGACAACACAAAAGTTTAGGCTAGTGCTAAACTTTTTTTTTCATTTCTATTGCAAATGAAGTGGCAAAAACACTGATTTTGTGGTCTTGATTATCTAAAGCGCATTGGCACGAATCGGCAAGAAAGTGTTGCATCTGGATCAGGTTTGGCAAAACTGCAAAAAAAAAAAAATGAATTGTACTAAATAATCTAACGACATCCTGTCAGAATGATTACTACGGCAGCAACTACGCGTCCTTCCCATTAGCTCAGTTCCTGCGATGGACGAAGAACGAGGCCACTGCTCCTCGCAATTTCGGTGACGAGGATGAAAATGGTGAAAATGAGTGCATTTCCACTGCAAAATCCTCAAATAACAAGGAGAAACAGCAGGTTTTGCCAATGAAAAGCTCATTCGAGTGCCGTCTATTGGAAGAAGGTTTCTCAGACGATGCCACAAAGGAAGAACTGGTGCAAAAATCCTCTTCCTTCAGTATCGACGTGAACCCTCGACTCATGTTGTCATCGGAACAGCTTGTGGAGACCTTAATCACCTCCGGAGTGGGGAGATACCTCGAATTTGCTGCCATTGAACGCACATACGTGCATTTCCAGCCTACAGACAACAGTACAGAGCCCGATACGGTGTGGGAAGTGCCGTGCTCCAAGAAGGACGTGTTCCAGAGTAAATTACTGGGAATGGTGGAGAAGCGGCAACTCATGAAGTTTTTACAGTTCGTGGCTGACTATGGCGAGACGCACATTCTGCACGAAGACGTGAAGACCAAGAACGAGCGGTCTTTAGCTCTCGGTCGCGCGTTAAAGAGGCCTCAGAACAAAGCCAGTCAAGCTGACACGGATGCCGAGCTTGTGGCATATCTTGACAATCCTTTTCAAGAATTACTGGAAAAACACTTTAAACTTTCTGTAAAGTTGCAACAAGTGGTGGTGTATTGCGTCGGGTTAGCCACTTTTCCAGCCTCGAAGAACCAGATCTCGGCTCGTGACGGTCTCGCTGCGGTGTACCGGTATGTGGCGTCTATCGGTCGGTTTACCGGTACGGCATTTTTAGCGCCGCTTTACGGTATCAGCGAGTTGGCGCAGAGTTTCTGTCGACTTAGTGCGGTATACGGCGGTATTTACGTGCTTCGAGCTCCTATTAACGGGTTTGTACTGGATAATGAGACCAGGACGCTCACTGGCGTGCGTTGTAGTGACGGCGACGTGCTCCGTACCAAGCACGTGGTGACCAACGGCAGCTATGTTGACTGTCTTCGGCTTAATAACGTGTCTAAACGTGCGCATGGAGAGCTTTTACGAGGTGTTTTCGTGCTGAAATCCTCCCTACGTGACGGGATGAACCGCATTATGCTCGTAATCCCGCCGGAAGACAGTGAGTTCAACAACCCGTTCGCTATTCAAGTTGTTCAGCTTGATGTGGGCGCGTATGCGTGTCCGAAAGGATACTTTCTCGTGCAGATTTCCATGCCGTTACCCACGGATTGGTTCGAGGACAAAGAGAAGCAAGCAGAGTTGATGAAAAGTGTCATTCGACGTCTAATTTTGAGCTCGGAAGCTGAAAAACGAGCGAAAAACAAGGCGAAAGAAGCGGAAAATGTTGAGAATGATGCGACTGAGCAAAATTGGAGCGACCGGATCGCCTGGCGTGCCATCTTTACTATGGATCACCTGGCATCCGGTGATATCAATGTTAGTGCGAAGGCTAAAGATCTCCCTAGTAACGTCTGGGTGTGTGAGACGGTTACGGGGGAATTACAGCAGAATAAGGGTGTGTGTCCGTTAGAAATTCATTTAGAGAGTGCGAGCGCTAATGCACGCGCTATCTTCGAGGCGTTGTGTCCCGGCGAGCCTTTTTTGCCCAAGAGCGCGAGTGCTGAGCAAGCGGAACAGGAAGAGCAGGAAAGCGAGGAAGACGCTGTGCTGCGAGCGGCGCAGAAACTCGCGCAGCAGACGGTGACTGAGGGACAAACTAAAGAAGGTAGCAACGGTAGTGAGAGTGCTGGCAGTGACAAGGCTACCGCTGATGCAGTGGAAGCCAATGATGAAATGGCTAGCTCGGCTGCCACTGACGACCACTGAACTGGTTTAAAAGCACTGAAAACACACGTCCGAACTTGTGGACGGCTTGCCACTACGTTCTGTCATTACTTGTCCACATTCACGCGAAAGAAATCATCGGTTAAAAGGTGATTTATTGCGTATTGAAAATATTAGACAGTGCAACACCATGTAGAGGTCGTTGTTGCTTGGCGAACGTACGCCATACAATTCGGACCATCATCGCATCCACCGCAACTTCGACGTCAACTCTTCTTGTGCTTGGACCGGCTAGTTGAAGAGATTGAAGTATCAGTTAAAGCGAAGGAAAATCTGCTGGTAAACCACATCCTCTTTTTGGCCTTGGTCAGCATGACCGAGGCGGTATCGCAGTCCCACGTGATATTCCTATTCTTTACGTTAAGCTACATGCTAATTTGAATTCGCATTCGACGTAGTATTTCAACAGCTTTTTTCATTTGAGTGGAACTACTCTCACAGATCGTCCTCTCGACTTTTCCCTCCGTTGCGTGCGTTCTTGTAGATCCTCGTCCAGGTTTCTGCCTTATCTCGATCGCCAATCGTCACAGAGCTAAAGTTGAGCTGCTTGAGGTTCGGGAACGACGCGATGACGTAGTTGCGGTAATGTTTCTTCTCCTCCAAGGGATTGCCGTGCAGACTGATCGAGTGCAAACGTGGCAGCCACTTGGCAAGTGCTTCGATGTCTGAGTATTTAGTTAACTGATTGCCATGAAGGTGCAGCGTGAACAGCTCCGGATACGCCGAGAAAACGTCGGGCGGGATACTCTCCAGTGCATTTCCTGATAGATCAAGCCACTGTAGCATCTCTGGGTAGTCGAACACGGCGCGAAGAGCTTCCTGCATGTCGTTCAGACTGGAAATTTTGTTGTTGTTCACACGTAGCGATACCGGCGTCTGTCGCTTCTTGGTTGGCGAAATTCCCGACACTTCTGAAGCGGGACTGTCGTTGACTCCTCCACTAGAGCGTGTTGTCAAGGCACCGACCGAAATCGCCTTTTTAGTGCCGCTTACCGGGTCATGCTGTTGCATTTCTTCGAAATAAAAAAAAACGTAAGTAAACTATTTGAAACCATTAAAATTACGTCAATGATCACCAGAGAGTGACGTGAGCCCCATGAATGAGTAATCCAATGGTACAACTGCAGCCTGGCGCCGAGGCATCCCTGCTTTCTTTGGAGAAGAGGCACCGGCAGTTGGAGACGCCGCTGCCATTGTCACGTCAATGTGATCGTCTTCCTTTGATTTGGTAAGGCTGTGTTGAGGTGTTGCCTCAAAATAGTGCTTCAATTTCTGAAATAGACGCTTTGGATTAGTTGATGTGGTGTCTATCGATGCTCAGTAGGAGCTGGATCACTCTAAAGCTCTTTCGAATAGCGGAAATCATGGATTTGTACTCGTCGACATGGAAAACTCGACCGTCTTCGCTTTCGGGTTCAGTTGTTTTCAATGCCAAGACAGCGTACTGAGCGTTTCGGTAGTCGTAATAGCGTGAGTAAAACTTGGTAGCACCGACGTCTTGTACGCTACGGATAAACCTCTTTTGCACCCTGCGAATTAGCGCCAGTCTCGAAAAGAACGAGTCGTTCCCAGGTGAATTCTCTAGCAAGATAACACCCAGTTGAATAAGTGGATCCGTGAGACGAGCTGCAGCAAAACTCAATAGTTCCTGATTGCCCAGTGACTCTGCTTGTTGCTCTACGGTTGCAGCACAGGCACACCAGAACCCTCCGTTGCCTGGGAGTACATATCCGGAGCGCAGTGTATTGCGAAGACGAGAAATCATCTTATGAGTGTCACTGCGTAGCTCTTCAGCCAGAGATTTCGTTGGGCCTTGTACAATGACGGATGTGTGAGGTTGGTGTCCTGTGTTACACAGGATAACCTGCACGAAGAAACTGGCCACTTCCTCGTCTTGAGATCCACTTACAGAACGCTCAAGAGATTTCAATTGGAGACGCTCGCAACCAATGGCACTAGGCAAGAGCTCTGCCCAGGAGTCCACAATTTCAGCTCCGCTCATCTCTGCGAGTTGAATTAGTGAGTTGTAGGAAGATACAGGGATGCAAACCGGAGCGTTTGGAGTTGAAATCGACGCGTCGACAACTTTGGTACTTACGTCACCATGGACAAAAATAACGCGAACGGAAGAGTTTGCAGCGAAGTCAAGCGTGTCCAGATCTCCAGCGAGAATGACGATGCCTCCGGTAATGGAAATCTCGAAATTTGAAGAAAATCTGCGCCACAAGGCATTCCGAGGAGCAGCGTCTACAACCGGAAGCAGCACGCCATCGAATACTTGGGAGCTAACGGCGGATGTTACACCTCCCAGCACAACGTGCGCTGTTACAAGGTCCGAAAGGGACACATTCTCGTCACAAAACCGAACTGGATCGAGTCTCATGGCTGCTTTTACCGCTAGAGACGTCGCTATCGGTTTGTCGCCGAGTATCAGCCCCAAAGCTTCGAGTTGGCGGGTCCATATCAATGTTTGGAAGGATGGAATGGCTTCTGTAAGGGGAACTCGCATGTGCTTGGCTGTCTACAGCCGATTAGTATTAACGTTAGTACGCCAGCTTGAACCAAAAACAGGATAAACTCGTACTATTAAACTGCATTTCTCGACAGTAGACAGTGCCTGCTGGATAATGTCACTACAAAGCTGTCAGTCACAGTTTAACCAAATTCCGTTCACGAGCCAATCTTACGTTGGCAAACCTTGACGCATCATTTCAAGCACAGTCTCCGCTAATACGCCACATAACGTCACCAATGTCGTGCAGCCCTAACAGTGTACAATTTCCTCAGCAACAGCATAACGTGGCTGTATAACACTCACGTACCGTGCCGAACTCTTTTTGCTGATCATCCAGCGCTTGCTGCAGGATGGCTGTGCCTGCATTCTGGCTCTGTAACACACTTGCCACTGTGTACGTATCCGCAGTGAACAACGTCTGGTCCAGCTCATCTGTACACAACACGTCAGCACGTTGATACCCCACAACGGCCAGACGACTAAATACCTACCTGTGACCTGTTTGCGCAGCTTATTGGGACCGTATAGCGACCGCACAGCGCGCGCCACACCCGCGACTGCCTGTAGCAGCACTATCGAGTCCATTGTGATCTTTTTTAGCAGTCGGACAGTCGCAACAACTTCAACTTGGGATCTTTTTGTCACAAAATTTGTGATTGTCAAATGAATTCTGAAGTAATTCTGAAGTAACAAATATTTTTTCCAGTGAGCCATTGTTGATCATAAGAACTACTGAATACAGGGCAAATACTACTGCTCCCTACTTAATTCATGCGCCGTTATATCTTGTTATGAAGTCGCCGAGGCCTGGGATAATCATCTGAGTCTCCGAGTCGACCGTGCTGTCAATACCACTCGTAATGATCCGAACACCTATTAACAGAATGATGTCAGTGCTCATAATATACTTGGCAGGATTACAAACATACCCGGGTAGCAGTTGCAGATGACTTCAAGACTGTCCGTGGAGCACAATATGATTACTAGCGTGATCCGATCCTCCTCAACACCCAGATCAAGGAGTGTCTCGATGGCTTTGCACTCAGCCTCGCCTGTGTTGACTGTCGAGCTGAAGAGCAAAACTCTGTACCGCGCGATGTCACTCGGCAAGTCGACGTGGTTCAATCGGTAGACGCTCATTCCTTGCTCGTCCATTTCATGTTCGACGTGAATGGAACCTTGCGATGCATCGGGCTCCATTTGGTTAAATAACACTAGGAACGGGAATCCTTCGGCACCAATGGCAACACCACAAAACTCGTCTGTCCGCTCCAGTCCATACGTCACGTAGCCGGTAGCTGTAGTCATTTCGATCGGGTGTAAACCGATGATTGACAACGCTTCCTCCAGCAATAACCTGCAACGATATCACCATTATAGGTTTACTTGACTTTATCATTCGAATTCGACAATACTCACATGATTAGCCGTCCAGCGGCGCGACGAAAAGTCTCTGGCCCCGATCGTCTGTCGCGTAGAGTTGTCATGAGTAGTAACACGGAGCTGGATTGAAGCTCTCTGATCATGGAGTCCTCTTCTGGCTGTGCAGAGCTCTCGCTTCTGTGGATTTCTTGCGCCTGTCTGATGAGTGAGTCGTAGCGTGTGATAATCTCCTCGCGGTTCTTGTTAATGTGACAGATAGCTGCTCGAGTGACGCCGTATTCGCGGGCCAGATCCGCCTGCTTTTCTCCTTTTTCAATGCGTTTAATGATAGCGTGGCGGTCAGCGTCGCACAGATACCGTACGCGCTTCTTCTGCTTTTGATTGGGTGTGCTGTTGTCCTCATGGGCCTCTTGATTGCCCTCATTCTTTGTCTCGTCTTCTCTGTCTTTGTCACGACCGCTGGAGGTCACCGCAGCTTGGGCGTGCAGTGCCATGAACTCGCCTAGAGGTGGTTGCATTGGTTGGTTGTCGTTAACTTCAACTTGCAGTGCGGGACGCTCGTCGTTGTTGTGTTCTTGCGTTGCCATGAAGGGCCCGACCAAAGTGCGACTAGAAATATGGTACTCTTATCCACTTGTCCGGCGTAGCACAAGATTAGTTACCAAAGTTTACAGATACGAAAGACGTTAAGAGCTTCGCTGCTGTGGCGGCTTTTTGCGTTATGCGGATGGATCTAAACCTTTTCCAAGCCTCAAGAGAGCGGATAGTGTTGGCGACAAAAATACGCACCCGGATCGGGATAGTCCACAGACCATTTTTTCGATTCGGTTACAAACCACAACACCACGTGTGAACGGCTACTTCTTCTTGTGCTCATTCACTCCGTTGGTCGTGTGTGGTGAGGTGGGTGGTGGCAGCGAGGCCTGGTGTTTTGCTGGAGATATGTTTGGATATTTGAGGAGCACTTTTTTGCAATTTGCAATTGAGTCATGGGTTCAGCTCTTTTTCGACATAAAAACGCAGTTGTTACGTTAAAACAGAGTGAACAAAATTGGCGACATAAAACCAACAGACTCTCAGATAAAGGAGCACGAACAATAAGCTACAGTGGTGTACCCCGTTTTCGCAGGGGTGGACCATATAGGATTTGGAAACACATCCGGTTTCAGCAAAGAAATTCGAGCATATTTGGCAAAAGTAAAATTATATCTGGAAGTTTATCAAAGGTCCGAGGACCGTGCGTGCTGTACATGGCTTCACTCAATAGTCTCGTTGACTGTCCAGTAAACACATTGACACGTGAAGTTCCAGTTTATTCGCAGTTCATAAGAACTGCCGTTTATCCTTTTGCAACGAGATGTTGCCAATGAGAATAACTAAATTTATGTTGCGTGCATTTCTAGAGAGCACGACAATGCGAGAACTCTATGCGCGATATCGCTGGATACTGCGGCACTGGTGCCAGTATAGAAATTTGTACTCGTTGCCGTAGCTACGCAAGTGTTGCAGTGTCTAATGGTTTCGCAAAATGCTCTCGAAGTGAACGTTGTCCTTGCCTCCAGATCAAAAATGAGACGGTGCCAGCAAAACGACTGAAGTTTTCCATCAGGCCCTGATTACCTTGGCCTCTGTTCAACAGCATCATCACTTGTTGCTTTCAAATGAGGCTCATCTGTTTTATTGTGTTGGGATCGTAGGGGTTCCTAGAACACAGCTATTCCAAGCATGTTTCCTCTAAGATGGCGTACTTTGTACGGCGTGGGAGCTGCATTTCTACAGCGAATCGAACTTTACACTGAAAAATAGCAACACGCTCGCGAAATTACTGAATGCGTTTCTAACTGGACAACACAGAAATCATTCCCACATTTGAATAATAGTGCAAAGTCTCTCCACCGTTGACCAGTCCTACAGATAGCACCGTTGCCCATCTGTTCTCCTACATCGCTAAGTACTTTTAAGCTCGATTGGTACGTCACACAAGAAGTAGGGCATTAGGCTTCATCGGAAACGTGTATCTGCCTTGTGTGCTATACAGCCTCTCTTGTAAATTGAACCCCGTCAGTACTAAACAAAACAAGCGTTTAAAGAAAGTATCCATATAGTTAACGACTTCGTCATAGCTGATACATGCAGTCTCGAGCGGCGTTTCTACAGCACAACCAGACACAAAAGCGTATCCGATGCAGCTCGGATTGTATGCATAGAGCATATAAATGAGGGTTCAGTCTTCCTCCCACCCACACGTATATTTCTCTATAAGGCCAGTCAGCTTCCAACGCTTCTTGGAGTATCATAGCAGATCCTGTCTAATGTGATATATATCATCTATCACATTAAACAGGATCCGCTATCAACCTAGAGAGGGTTGAAGCTATTGTCCCCGCCCGCTGAATCCCTCTAAACGCTGACGCAACAGGATTCGTCTGTTCCATACCTTGCCCATACAAAATCTCAGTCAAATCCTCCCTTTCCCATACGAACACTCCAGATTTCCACTGTTAACCATAGCGAAATCCTCCGAGTCTTTCACATCTTATCATGGCATCTCCATCTCATACACGCGCTGTTCCCGCTCGCTCAGTGGCTCGCAGTCTGGCCGACGCCGCCGCTGCTCTTCGTGCGCAAGAATGGCGAGGCGACAGCTCAAATAGTCGCGTTAACTCATCAGTTGTCCCGCGTCAAATGCCGCCATACGAAGAGGACATCTCAACGTCCTACAGCGCGCGCTACAGCGTCCAGGACGAGCAAAACGGAGCCTTGTACGACCGCGAGGCCTTCTACGAAGAGCTACGCGAGCGCCACCGCAACTTGACGGAAAGGCAGAGACTCGCACGAGAGTTTTTCGCTCAAAACCTTCAGCATAGCCAGCATAGACCATGGGGAGAAGAAAACGAAACACTAAGAGGCCACAACGCAGCCAAAAGACAGCGAGTCGTCGCGGACAGGAGTCCACAGAGACGCCAACCAACAGATAAACCGAGAAGAGCGTCACCAAGACCGACACAGCCTGTACAGGAGTCAGGATTAGTGATATCGTCTTCGATTAGACCGGAGACGCCGAATTCGAGCGGGTTACATGAGGTTACGAACGCTCCGTCAGTTATTGAAGACGCAGAGAGTGAAGGTGCGGTGGGGGGAGCAGGGAAGAAGCGCGTGCGGTATCTGCGCGATACCGATCGCCGCAATATTATCAAACGTATTGAAAACGGAGAGAAACAGGCAGCACTGGCGCGGGAATTCGGCGTCACAAGAGCAGCTATTTGCCATATTAAGAAGAATCGCTTCGAGATTCTATCACGCTACAATACGCTGGTGAAATCTGCTCAAGAAATGTAAGATAAATTTTGTGTTTTTTTTATTTTTAAACTAATCTTTTTTGTTTTTGTAGTGATTGCGCGGATAATTTTGTCGGACCGCCAGGAATGGACATGATGGTGCATCAAGTTCGCGCCAAGTCTGTCTTGTTGCTGATGACTATGCTACGTGACAAACGCTCGAATGGAGCCACGTTCCGTCGCGTGGCAGGCCGATTGATAATGTGAGTTTTTAAATTTTACTTGTACTATTATTTTTATTAATGAATTGTGATTTTTGCTACAGGATTTTATTGGAAGAGACGTTAGGAGTTCTAGGCACAGGCAGTGTGGAGGTGATAACTGGTACTGGCCATCTGTACCGGGGTCTAGAACTTAGACATCAGTTCTGTGGTGTGGCTGTCGGTACAGAGGGGTTCCCATTCCTCGTATTGTTCCATCAAATGGAACCTGAAGCTCCTCAAGGATCGATTCACGTTCAAGCAGAGACGGACAAACGAGGTGACCGCGTTTGGCGCTTGGATCACATGGATCTACCAGCTAATATCGCTCAACACAAGGTGCTGCTGTTTTCCTCTACATGTAGTACGGGTAACGCCGAATGCAAGGCCATTGAGGTGCGTGAGTTATAAGGTTGTCTCCACTGAGTTGTAGAGATTGATTGTTATGGATAGGCTTTGTGTAGTATTGGCTGCGACGAACGCAGTATCGCGCTTGTTGTGATCCTCGTGGCGTCGGATGGGATCGTCAACATCAGCAACCGCTTCCCACGTAAGCTCAACTCCACAGTTTCGTTGTCTCTCAGACAGACCTGTGTTTTTCTTTATTGTTATTGCCAACTCTCATGAATATTTTTTTGCGTATTTACAGAGGTGAAGATCATCACGGGTGGAGTTGATGGCACAGTAGACCCACAGACAGAGAGCATTGTTCCCGGGTTCGGTGATTTTGTCTTGCGCTATAATGGAGGCTCATAAGCGATTGTACTATAGTTTTAAAATCACAAGAGCATTTTTGAAATTACGTTACGACTTGGTGACTGCGGGACTTAACTGCAGTTCCCCATAATGCCGTCTAGCCGTAACGATACAAATACATGAATAAAATGATGTTAACCCTGCACCAGTATTTGCGCTCTTACAGGATTACATGGACCATCGGCACTGCATGCAGGTACGCGAGTCGCCAGTACTATTCTACAGAGCCAGCGCCTGTTACGTTCTGAAGCGAAGGTGCCGGACGGCTACTGAATGGGAGACACTGTTTGAGCACATGAATCTTTCTCCTCCGCCGTGCGCTACAGTAAGAGCCGATGCGAGAGCCTTGTAAAGTAGTGAATTCCCCACTACACTATAATTGTTATTTTGGAATGGACAATAAGTATGCAGCATGGTCTACAGTATTTCAAAATAGCACTGAAATTGACAATGCTGTATGGCACCTTAATCAATTTCAGTGTTTTTTTTTTTTTTTTTGCCTGTAAGTTCAAGCACATCTTTGACAGTAATCATAGGTCGAATGCCGCAACGACCGATCTTTCCGGCTGCTCTTGGGAAGCACGACTTGCCCTCATGTCTCTAGAAATTCTAGAAACAGGGTATTCAATGAATACCCTGTTTCTAGTGTACTGAAGTACAGACTGTATCGGATCGATCTGTATTAGTAATACAGTACTACTGGGCTACAAAAACATAAACTGCGGGAGTATTACTGCCATGTCCTACCGATTACGAATCTTGATTCACCATAAATGTTTTGGAACAGACTACAGACGATCCCCTCGGTAGTAATCTCTAGGCTTGGAATACTCCCTCAACAGCAATAATTTAGCGGTTCCCGTTGACCAGTTGCATACAAACCCAAGATATTATTCCCTCTCACCCCTCAGTAGTAAAATCGAATACATTTAAGTCAAATATTTCTATTTGGGGGTGATTAACTATGTAAACAGTCATAACTGCACTAGACCAAAATTGCTGATCCGAATGAGAAAAAAAAATGAAGCCTATCTTTTGATTACTTTGGACGTGATTCGAGCTTTAGGATCGCGGAGAAGTGTTCTGCCTTCAGTCAATTTGCCTCATCCGTGACGGTGACACACTCCTCTTTACACCAGAAGGCCCAACTGGCAAGGAGCTTGGCGAGTTTAGGATGGCGCACCGTGTGCCACAATTCTGTGGCCAACTGCGAGACCGAAGGTGACTCCAGCGCTTTTCTGCGCATTAATAGCTTCCAGATCATTGGTGGTGATGAACTAGAGGAGACCCTAGATTCTGTAAGCCTATGAATAAAGCTCTGTTTGGGGCAAATTAGGGATGTGAGCATGGTCCTTGTCTTTTTGTACAGCAGTCGTTGAGTGTGCTGGTGAGTGAGAGGTGGACAGCGCTTTGATTGCCGAGGGGATCGTCTGTAATTCTAGTCTGTTCCAAACCCTTTGCCATGTTCAACTATTTTGAGGAAGTGGAAAACAAAAACGTGATCTTACACTTACTTTCATTAAGGTTGGATTTCGAACTGGATAAGTTGATCAAAAAAACGTTGTATTAATACTTGTAAAAGACAAAATCCCGAGGATTGTGAGCTCTTTGTCGAACGAGGATTGGCCAAAAGCGTGTAACAATCTAATTGGTAGTAATGTAAAAAAAACTCATAAGTTTTGTGATATGCTTTTCTTCGCAAAATGTGAAAATGTGACTGAAAGCGTGTTTAAATTCACGATGTATGCTTGAGATGGCAGTAGCTTTAATCTGATTGGCTTTCCCAACAACATATGTCACTAGCTCTCAATGTACCACACTCTGTTCACGTAAGACGATGCCCACCACAAACGACGAATTGTCAATACCGGCAAACCAATTGCTCAGTTGGACACACATCTCGACCTGGCAATACGCTGATTCAGGCACAGCATTTGTGATTCCACGATGCGATTTGCTAATCCTACCGTCAATTTTAATACTATTGCGTGTAGTAAAACCCGCCTGCATACGGGCAAGTTTTATAAAACTCCACGCGGTGTGGGTTGACGACCGTGAAGTGGGTAATTCATGTAAATGCAGGTAATTCCCATTTGCTAAATATTAATAATGGCTTGAATAGCACATGTACTAGCGGTATTTTACTAGGACGACGTTACCGCCACAAACAAACTGCATAAAAAGGACGTGTTTGTGGCTGGTTTGTGTCTGAAATGAGCCACAAATCAGCCACAAACGATGAAATAGATTTTGCTTCTGAGAATGACCACCCAATTTTAAAAGCATATTTTTTTCGAGCACTACAATTACGTAAGGTCAGGCGATCATGAGTTGTCTGTAAATTGGCTTAGCGAAAAAGTAATTTCACTTACAACTAACAATAAGCAGAGCAGGATGCCCAAATCTATTAGCGTTAAGAGTCTCCATAAATGTTTAAGTCAAGAAAAGTGAGATGATGGATGTATTGCTCTTACGCATTGTGTGAAGAGAGTGAACCGCAGTGATTGTAAGGTGTCGTGGTTAATTGCGGGAATAGTGATACTTTTTATGGTCATCATTGCGCACAATACGACCATTGTTCCGCAGTTGTGCCCGTCCGTTTGTGTCAACTCAACCCGGCGATCAAAAGAGAACGATTTCTCGTAATCTGGTATCACTCTACTGAGGTAGTCACCACATATTTTTTCCAGTCGTTTGTAGTACATTTCAGACTGCAAGGGATCAAACAAATGCATCACTTTATCCATCAGGTCCACAATAATCATACACCAGTGATTATTGTCGAAATTGAATGGTAGCACCACAAACCGGTATGTTGCTTTGAAAGCGGCCAGGAAACCCGTAATTGGAGGGATTTTACCAGATTCAGCGTAGCTAAAGGCAGATGTGTCAAAAAAGGCCGTATCTTTCCGATATCCAAGCGAAACGTGTAAAGCCAACTTAATGCATACGTCGTTTAACCAATTGGATCCTTGAAAGTCGAAAAGATTGTAGAAAACGGCTACCTGTGACAGAACGTTACAGTCAAATCAATGGTAGAGTTTGTTGTGGTACTTTACAAAAGCTGTACTTACTTGATCACCAAATGTAAATTGAGAGTACACTGACGTCGAGAGAATGGTATTTAAAACGTCCTCGGTGTCTGAAGGGTGCATCATGTTTTTTTCAGATTGATGGAGAAACCAGGCACGACACCTATCCAAAGAGCTTAACAAGCTTCGTTTTTCGTGGTATCTTTTCATGGCAATAATTGTTGAGGCTTGAAAACTACCGAAATGCAGTCCGAGATCAACATCTATGTCGTAGATGCCTCCAAATTCCTCATCCACCGCAAGTACAGTTTGGGTAGATATTTTACGTGAGTCTCTGAAACTTATCCTTTGTGCTTCCATTGTTGTCATACATTTGTATGCTTTGGCTACAAATTCCTCATCAAATACAAATTTTGTGTCGCCAGGTCGTTTTCCACGTTCACTACCCACGGTTGCAATTTTAGCACCTAGAGGAGTAGCATCAATTACGGAAACGATTTTAAAGTCTACAAATCGCTGATAACATCCAGTAAGCGAAAAGTCTTCATAAGGCAATTCATCAAGGTCACTCAGAGAATCAGAATATTGGGCAATAGGCTCAATAGATATACCACGATCAAGACGTTGTTTTTTTTTTACCGTGCTGGACGGACTCAAAACGTCTGCGAATCCCCTTTTTTCCAATTTTGTGCTCTGAGTACGACGAGAAGATACACCTGCCGTTTTAATATGTCGCTTTGGATACCAACTTCGAGTGGTTTTTGTTGTTCGTGGACGTCCCGACACTTTCACATACTTGTTAAACGTAAATCCGCTAGTACCCGCACTGGATGTGTCCAACAAGTCGTTTTTCATATATTTGCGATAGGAGGATTGATTTGTTTCAACACTAATCTGCGTCGATGGAAATGTGAGACTACCGGGAAATTCCACTGGGTCGTCATATTGTTCACATTTGGATTTAGAAGTGCCACTTGTTTCCACAAATTCAGGTACGTTTCCTTCTGAAATAATGTTATAGAACTTTTCACAAGCTTGATAAAACTGGTGAAATCTCGACGTTCCCACAGACGTTATAATATCTGCAATTTTTGTCTGCAGAACCAATAACTTCCTGTACTTATCTCGATCGTTTAAGATCGGCGTAGACTTGTACACTCGTTTTGTGTAAGGTCCCGGGGGTAGTGGTAATTGAAGAGACTTCAGTGCATTCTCGCGAAGTCGCCATCGTTTGTGAATAGAGTTCAGTGGAATAACCTGTTCTGCACGAAAAAGCTGCAAACAATATCATGAATCAGAATCTACCGCCACTTTTAAGTGAATTAGCTTCCGCACCGTTCTTCGTAAATACATGACATGGTAACAGGGCAGAAGTCGAGTTCGTGAAAACGTACACGAGCAGGTCCAAGATTCGGTGTCCAGTGAGTACTTATATCGACCATCCTTATTTCTTGATATTCTATAGTGACCTTCACGGGTCTTGGTGTAGTCAACTTGGGTCGAGTGCTACAAAACATTTTTACTAGTCAGAAAAAAGATGTATTCACACGTAGTATGTGAAATGTACATTCACTGCATGAAGATACTGTTCACGTATTAGTTCCGCTGCATGTGATGTAGCCACTTCGAGAACGTTTTGCATTTCTGTGTCGTAAGTTCTGTTGACCAAAGTGCCAACCTCCTAAGATTTCAACAATTCAAAAAACAGTATAAGTGTGAAGAAATCAATAAGTATATGAAACTTTCCAACGTACCGTCATTCCCTTATTGAATATTTTTTCTTTCAAAAGTTGAAGTGTCAAAATTGTAGAGATACAGTCATCCAAAGGCATGTGAATCCCCAATTCTGGTTTCAGTTTTCCCCATCCTGATTCCAATCGGTTGTTTGTGTTATTGCCTAAATGAGGGCAGTCGGTTCGATAGCATAGCACCCATCGCTCTTTGCAATTATCCCAATTGTTCGTAAAATATGTCACAAAAGGGTGCTCCATCTCTAAAGCGTGAGCACTATCAGAGGTCGTAACGTTATCACTCCGAAACTCGTATTCTCTGCTATCATTTGTCCCACGCATTCCACCATTCTTGTCTGAGTCATCCATTTCGCAACGTTTTT